ACAGCACCAGCAGCAGCAGCAGCAGCAGCAGCAGCAGCAGCAGCACCAGCGCCAGCAACAACAACAACAACAGCAACACACCAGCAGCAGCAGCAGCAGCAGAAGCAGAAGCAGCACCAGCAGCAACAACAACAACAACAACAACAACAGCAACAGCAACAGCAACAGCAACAGCAACCACAACCACAACCACAACCACAACCACAACCCATTGACAGCCTGAGGGATAGCGTGAGACCCTGGCAGCCAGACTGCGAAGCACCGACAGGATCCTTCCAAACTTTCTTGTTCACGAGTGGAATGTGCTTCCTCCAGTAACACCTCCACAGATCTTCACGGTGCGCAGTTTGTGATGCAGTGCGAGGGGATGATTGAAGCTCAGCGCGGTCGGGTCAAACGACGTCGGAGGGAAGCCCGTCACCAACAGCTTGTGGCCATGTTGTGTCAGAACCCAGGGAATTAGTTTTTGCTGTCAGCTTGTACAGTTTGACGGAGTATGTCGTGTCGGTAGGAATTCCGTGGTCGGGTGCTCGATGTGGCACTGCTGAGTGGTTGAGTGGGTTGCCCTGTTGTCGGCCTTTGAGAGCGCAGGGAAAACAACCACAACCACAGCGACCACAACCACAACCACAACGACCACAACCAAAACCACAGCAACAGCGACAACAGCGACAACCACAACCACAACAACGACAACGACAACCACAACCACAACAACAACAACAACAACCACAACCACAACCACAACCACAACCACAACCACAACAACACCAACACCAACACCAACACCAACACCAACACCAACACCAACAGCACCAGCAGCAGCAGCAGCAGCAGCAGCAGCAGCAGCACCAGCGCCAGCAACAACAACAACAACAGCAACACACCAGCAGCAGCAGCAGCAGCAGAAGCAGAAGCAGCACCAGCAGCAACAACAACAACAACAACAACAACAGCAACAGCAACAGCAACAGCAACAGCAACCACAACCACAACCACAACCACAACCACAACCCATTGACAGCCTGAGGGATAGCGTGAGACCCTGGCAGCCAGACTGCGAAGCACCGACAGGATCCTTCCAAACTTTCTTGTTCACGAGTGGAATGTGCTTCCTCCAGTAACACCTCCACAGATCTTCACGGTGCGCAGTTTGTGATGCAGTGCGAGGGGATGATTGAAGCTCAGCGCGGTCGGGTCAAACGACGTCGGAGGGAAGCCCGTCACCAACAGCTTGTGGCCATGTTGTGTCAGAACCCAGGGAATTAGTTTTTGCTGTCAGCTTGTACAGTTTGACGGAGTATGTCGTGTCGGTAGGAATTCCGTGGTCGGGTGCTCGATGTGGCACTGCTGAGTGGTTGAGTGGGTTGCCCTGTTGTCGGCCTTTGAGAGCGCAGGGAAAACAACCACAACCACAGCGACCACAACCACAACCACAACGACCACAACCAAAACCACAGCAACAGCGACAACAGCGACAACCACAACCACAACAACGACAACGACAACCACAACCACAACAACAACAACAACAACCACAACCACAACCACAACCACAACCACAACCACAACAACACCAACACCAACACCAACACCAACACCAACACCAACACCAACACCAACACCAGCACCAACACCACCAGCAGCAGCTGCAGCAGCAGCACCAGCACCAGCACCAGCAGCAGCACCAGCAGCAGCACCAGCACCAGCACCAGCACCAACAACAACAACAACAACAACAACAACAACAACGACGCCGACGCCGACGCCAACGCCAACGCCAACGCCAGCAGCAGCAGCAGCAGTAGCAGCAGCAGCAGCACCAACAAGAACAAGAACAAGAACAAGAACCAAGAACCAAGAGCCAAGAGCCAAGAGCCAAGAACCAAGAACAAGAACACAACAACCACCACCACCACCACCACCACAACAACAACAACAACAACAACAACAACAACAACAACAACAACAACAACAACAACAACAACAACACCAACACCAACACCAACACCAACACCAACACCAACACCAACACCAGCAGCACCAGCACCAGCACCAACAACAACAACAACAACGACCACAACAACAACAACAACAACAACAACAACAACAACAACAACAACAACAACACCAACACCAACACCAACACCAACACCAACACCAACACCAACACCAACACCAGCAGCACCAGCACCAGCACCAGCACCAACAACAACAACAACAAGAACAAGAACAAGGACAAGAACCAAGAACCACGAACCAAGAACCAGGAACCAAGAACAAGAGCCAAGAGCCAAGAACAAGAACAAGAACACAACAACAACAACAACAACAACAACAACAACAACAACAACAACAACAACAACAACAGCAACAGCAACAGCAACAGCAACAGCAACAGCAACAGCAACAGCAACAGCAACAGCAACAGCAACAGCAACAGCAACAACAGCAGCAGCCGCAGCCGCAGCCGCAGCCGCAGCCGCAGCCGCAGCGACAGCGACAGCGACAGGGACAACAGCAACAGCAACAACAGCAACAACAGCAACAACATCAACAACATCATCAACATCAACAGCATCAACAGCATCAACAGCATCATCAACATCAACAGCATCAACAGCATCAACAGCATCATCAACAACAACAACAACAGCAGCATCAGCAGCAGCAACAACAGCAGCAGCAGTAACAGCAGCAGCAACAGGAACAACAAGAACAACAAGAACAACAAGAACAACAAGAACAACAAGAACAACAAGAACAACAGGAACAACAAGAACAACAAGAACAAGAAGAGCAAGAAGAGCGAGAAGAGCAAGAAGAACAAGAAGAACTAGAAGAACAAGAGCAAGAACAGCAGCAGCAGCAGCAGCAACAACAACACACCGTGAACAGTCACCTTGGCCTGCTGCCACAAATGCTGAAGCTGAGCAATCAGCCACCATCCGGCCGCAGTGTGCCCCGATCCTTGACCTGTTTCTGCCTAGGACCTGCCCTGACGCCTACGCAATTTTCGAGACGGAGACAGCTCGTGACGCAGCTGTGGAGGCAATGTCAAGTATTGATAAGGGTGCATGTACAACATGTAATTAAATTGTTGGGGGGGGTGGCGTGGGGCAACCGTTGATGCCGCGTTGTGGCTTTGCAGGCGGCTGTTTCCAGTGGCGGGGTGGAGTTCCATGGCAACACGCTGAAGCTGAACGCCTCGCGCGTGGAGCCGCAGACGGTGAAGTGGCAGAACTGCGCCAACACGGACCTGGTGGTGAAGGCCAAGCGCGTGGCTCTCGGCCCTTTGACTTGCACTTGGGTAGTTGCACAGCTGGCAAAGCGAGATGTTTTAGCATTCTGTCTTGCACAGGCGGCGCAGTGGCCTCAGCCCTTGATAACATTGTGTGCCGGAGTCCAGTGCGCTCAGGTATGTGCATCATGCTGGCGGGTCTGGGAGTGTGGGTCGTTGCCTTCTACTTGCCCTACGCGTGGTTCTCGCTGACCTTCAACTACTCCTACGGACAGGAGCCCGGATTTGTGGCCGGCATGACTTTCTCCATGGTCGTTGTGGCGGGCAATGTTTCTTGGCTCACAGTTGTGCACTGTGCTCTCTGGTTTGTGCTTCAAGTTGAGCGACTTGGGTGTTGATGTCCAGAAAAGTTCCTTGATTTACAGCTGAGGCACTGATGTATTTGGTTTGCAGCGAAGTGGCCGACCGCACCAGATTCATCTATATCGATGACCGCGAGGTTTGCTACATGCTCCTGTACTGCTTCGCTTGCGTCTTCAACGTGGCCCTTGACTTGATCACCACCTACATGGTGGCGTACCGCATCAACGTGGGGCTCCACATGAAGACCTATGACGGCACCCTGCTGCAAAACTTGCAGTCCTTCTCTGACCGCTTTGAGTCCTACGCGATGCAGCGCACACTCGCCAACAACCTGTATGCATATGCATTCCCGGCCACCTTCTTGATCCCTTTCTTGATCGAGCCAGTGGCAACCATCTACGCCCCGTACAAGCTGATGATGATGATTGTCCGCACTCAACCCAACATGAAGGGTTTCATGGCTGAGAACTTGCTAGGCAGTCTTGTGTTCGATCTGTCTCGCTACGCCGACCTCCTGCTTGACGCCATGATTGCGGTCCTGATCTTCTTCTTCCCTGGCGGCTTCAACATTCAGATGTTCCTGGGCATGGCGCTGTCGCACGTGTACATCTACTTCTTCGACCACTACCGCGTGCTCCGCTCCATTCAGAGTTGCAGCTACACGGACCGCATGGTTGATTGGTGGTCCCAGTGGCTGATGTGCAGCTTAGCGGCAGGTATCGGGGGAGCATGATTAACCCCCCCCCTCCCTCAAGGTCTCCCTGAGTTTGGATCTGGCCAGTCCTCTCCGGTCCTTCCTGTGTTGTTTGGCCAACAGGAATGCAATAGGAAAGTAAAAGGAAAGTGTATTTTATATATGTGGAGAGGGCCAGGATTCATCCGGGGGTGTTATTCGGGGAGGGGGGGTACCCTTCGCGAGCTTGTCGAGCCTTGTTTCTTTGTGCTGTTTCCGGCTAGCACACTGGCAATAGCTTTGGTAACTTAAAACGTGTTTTGTTATTTTCTGATGTCTTGGCCGGAAAGGGACGTCTTTAATCAGAGGGGTTTGGGAGGGGTCATTTGGCCAAACTTTGCGGGTGCTTCTGAATTAGCGGGGAAAAGCAGGCGTTTTTAATCAGAAGGGGTCTATTAAGCATCTGCCGACATTGCTTGGTGTGCTGCAGTGGCCCACTGGACAGAGGGTTGGCCAGCTGCGTGTTTTGCTGGAAAGAATTTGTCTAAATTTTGGAAAGAGAACTGACAACAGTAAAGTATGGTGCAGGTGTTGCGTAGCTGTTGCGTAGTGGTTGCATACGTGTGCCGACTGTTTCAACGTTCCTGGTTTGTCCGGCTGGGTTGGTTCGCCAACGGCTGTTACTTCTTTCGCAAACGCATGCTTTTCCGTCTCCTTGTGCACACGCTTCGGGGGCATACGGACAGGTCTTGCTTCAGGCAGGCCAGTGCAAAGGCAGCATTGCCACGGTTCCAGCTGCCCGCCATCCCTCAAGTCTTTTTGTGTGTGGCGTGCAGACTGTCAAGCGTGTGCTGGAGGCATCCCTTGCGGCTGCATGATGGCTTGCTTCGTCTTCAAGGCCAACTGCCAGCCAGGCTACTTCTGCCTGGAAGGTGACGAGATGGTCACGGCTTGTGCTGCAGCCTTCTTTGCGCACATCGCGCTGCACACTCTTCTGCTGCTAGGCAGGAAATTTATACCTATATATATATATATATTTCTTCGTATATCATAATAGCACGATGTCCTTCGCTTTCTTACACCTGTTGGCATGTAGACCAGGGTCTTCGGGTAGCAACGGGATGTAAGGAAGCCATTGCCATCTCACGGAGAGGGTGCCAGCATGCTGATGCATTTTGTAGAAGCATATGTGGTATCTAGTTCGTTCATCAGACACGGCAGTGCAGTAGGAAGAAGGGGTAGGTATAAATCAAAGAGAAGCCTCAGCCTGAACCCCATAGTGCGGTTGCGCTGTTTTGTATGCTTTAGCTTCCTATGTTGCACTGAAAAGGGGCCCGAACTTCAACAATATTGCACTGACATGTTGCACTCAACAGCATTCTGCAGTGACGGGAGGTGCCAATGACGGGAGGTGCTAAGCAGCGCAAAGCCTACATTACATTGCTTCAAGGCCACTTTGCCAGCCAACCAATTCGTAGATATTGAACTGTGGCTGCTCCACAAATCTCACAGTGGATGCTAATCCCGCAAAGGCCTTCAGAGAAACTTGGTGTTGTGAAATGAGCAGCGCCTCTATTACCTCGTTTCATGTTGGTCTAGTGCGGCGCATGCAGATCTTTATTTCCATGCTGGTAGAACCAAAAGTTGATGCGATTGGAGCAGTGCACCACCTTGGCCACCTTAGGCTGCGCTATGTCGTGCCCAAGTTCGGCCTTGTCGGAGAGTCCGACGGCGCAGACACCAACACCTACGTTGCCTGCTCCAAGCGCTTGCCGTGCTCGTGGTTCACCTCCAACCCTGTGTTCTGCCTGCGGTCGCAGTATGTCTACAAGCACAGCCCTCCGTGCACCTACTACCTCCCGGGGAAGGAGCACCTCATCGAGCAGAACGAGGAGATCGGCCTCTACTTCAAGGACTGTCCTGCCAAGGAGGAGGACTATGACGCCCCGCATGTAGACACAGAAGCGTTGAAGGCTCAGATGAAAGAGATGCACGGCAAGGTTTCCGGGCACATGGAGGAGTTCAAGGGCAAGATGACCAGCCAAATGGAGGAGATGAAGGGCAAGGTCTCCGGCAACTTGGAGCAGCTCAAGGGCAAAGTCTCCGGGCACTTCGACAAACTCTTGAAGAAGGACGGCCCAGACGGCCCGGATGGCGATGCACAGGGCTCCGGGGGTTCCGCCAGCCAGAGCTGAGCCTAGCTGCTTCCAGTAGATCCCTAGCTAGCTTCTCTAGCTAAGTGGCAGCACAACATGAGAGGCTTGAGGAAATGATAGCGCTGAATGTGGGGCGAGTTGTGGGTGACTGGGTGCATGTTGGGGGGGGGTCATTGGGACGGCCCTTGGCTGCAAACGCTTCACACAATCCTGGCTTCACGTTTGCGTCACAATCAAGACATGTTGCGTGCGACCCGCAGCGTCTAGCGCCATCTTGTTTTCCGCAGATTGGCTCAGGGCCGTCAACAAATTCTGTCACAATGCAGATTCTCTTGGTCTCATTCTTCGCCCTCGCCGCCGCGCGAGTGGCACCAGTCCAAGAGCGAGTCACTTGGCTGCGGCTACGCGCTGCTGATTAACCCCATGAACTAACCCCATGAAATCATTGAATCTTTGGCGTGGTTTTGCTCTTCTCGCCTAGCTCGATTCTTTCTCCAGACCCCAGAGTTGTCTTGAGCTCGTATTTGTGGGCCTTGGCCTTCTGAGGCGACCTTGGCCACGGAGGCTCTCTCCGGGCGCCAGCCGCAGTTCTGGCTGAAGTCTAAGGCTCCAGCACCCAAATGTCACGACAAGAAGCTTGTGAACTCCGAGTCTGACAAGTTCCTGGCCTGCCCAAAGGACAGCGCACGCGTGGCCGTGGTGCGTGCTCAGAGAAAACAAGTGTGATCCTCATTGATGACTTGTTGGCGTTCATGCGGCTTTGTTTTGCCTAACTACATTGTCACATACTGTCACTGCTGGGGAGGAGTGCCCGGTTTATGCCGATGATCGTGGAGATGGTGTGGACTGCAACTTCGAGTGTGTGGAAGCAACACCCAAGGCATGCACGGCAGTGAACAAGTTTGAGCCGATTCCTGACAAAGAGATGGGCAGCTCGGCAGGATTGCAAGCAAACAAACTTAAAATGCTGCAAGATGCAAATGATTCTGCATGGGGGCCCTTATATTCGTCTGCTGAACTTGAGGCATTTGCCGGGCCTGCATCATCTACGGCTGCGCTGAGTGCAAAACGGATGGCACGGACACCTGCGCCAGGTGCGACAGTGGCTACTCTGTGAACGCCAAAGGCACCTGTGACAACGACAACCGCTACTACTGGTATGCCCTGTTCGTTGTGCTCGGCGGGGTCACTCTGTTCATTGTGGCTTGGATCGTGGACATTTGCACCCGCCCCATCGTCAACGCAGATGGCCTGAAGGGAGCCTTGGACTACCGCTCCCGATCCAAGGTGCGCATGCCCAAGTCCTCCAATGATGACGAGGGTCGCGAGCTTTACCCCTTGGACACCAACCTGTTGAAGGAGAGCGTTGCTGGTGTCGGCGTGACTCTGCACTTCAACTTCCAGCTCTTCCTGATCGTGTGGTCATTGGGCATTGCCGTGGGCTGGCTGCTGCTGTCCCTTTCAGTGGATGATGCCCTCTTGATCCTGGGGACACGCAGGGCAAAGACTGCACGACAGAATTGCATCCTGGTGGCATGGGGCTTCGAGACGCAGCAGCGGCTCATGTGGACCAAGATCGACTTCGTGGTCGTGGTTTACCTGCTGACGGTTCTGGGCTGCGTGCTCTTCGGCATCCGTCAGCTGCGGCTCTTCCAGAAGGTGGACATGCAGAACTCCACGCACAAGGACTACGCGGCCCGCATCCGCAACCTGCCGCTCCTGGACGGCACGACACCGGTGGAGGATGAGCTGAAAGAGCGAATCCAAGAGGCGACTGGCCAGAAAGTGGTGGGCGTCTCGGTGTGCTGGGACTTCCAGGAACATGAGGAAGAACTCTTGGACCTCCTGCAGAGTCAGTTGGTGGAGAAGGAGCTGGAGCTCCACCCCATGCCACAGCGAGAGGAGGAACCTGAGGACTGCCGAAACATGCCAAAACCATTGAGGTGGCAGAGGGTCGATGGCCAGGGTGTTAGCGCAAAATGACGACTGGGTCACGGGACGGGTCTAGCTTGCCAAATGCATGCACGTTCGGGTGCAGCAGCTGGAACGCCCCCGTTCTAGCCAGAATTGGCGTAGTTGGGCGTGTCACAGCTTTTTGGTTGACGCTGTGCTGTGTTCTTTTCCCTCGGCCAGTGCAGGAGCCGCAAGGCTTTTTTGCCCGGATGGAGCGCGCGGCACTGGCAGCAGATGCACAGAAAGTGGTGGCCACAGGCAACTTGGCCCATAGTCAGCTCGGCCGTATGTCAGACAAGCACGAAGAGATGTCACGAAGAGATGTCACTGTTCATGTTTGTTTGTGACGCCTGATCAGCAGCAGCTGGACAAACCCCTGTCATACTATGCCTTTTGATGGGGCTTATCATGGCAGCGGCATGCAGTGAGACCTGCAAGGGATGAAGTTTCGCAGCAGCTCCGCAACAATCAAGCAGCAAGTTTCTGCAAGAGCACTGCCATCGGTGCCATGATGGAACTGCAAACTTCCCTAGGTGAGATGACCGAGGAAGAGAAGCAGAAGGCCGTTGAAGAGGCCGCACAGGCTCAGCCCGGCGAGGAGATCATCGAGGAATGCAAGGAGGTGGATGTCATCGGAATCCTGAAGAGCATCAAGATGCTTGGCTGAGCTGCACGTCTTTGCTCAATTCAGCGTCTCAAGGGCTCGGAATCTTGCAATGAGCCAATTCGGCCAAAGCTTGCTCATCCTTGACCTGTTTCTCCCTAGGACCTGCCCTGATGCCTACGCAATTTTCGAGACGGAGACCGCTCGTGACGCAGCTGTGGAGGCGATGTCGAGTATAGAGAAGGGGTGCATATACAACATGTCGTAAGTTGTTGGGGGGTCACATGGGGCAACCGTTGATGCCGCATTGTGACTTTGCAGGCGGCTGTTTCCAGCGGCGGGGTGGAGTTCCATGGCAACACACTGAAGCTGAACGCCTCGCGTGTGGAGCCGCAGACGGTGAAGTGGCAGAACTGCGCCAACACGGACCTGGTGGTCAAGGCCAAGCGTGTGGCTCTCGGCACTTTGGCTTGCGTTTGGTAGATTGGACGCATGGCAAAGCGAGATGTTTTCTGCCCTCAGTCCCTTGATGACTTGGAGAGGTTCGCCAAAGATGGCCGAAGTCCAGTTTGCTTCAGGTATGTGCATCATGCTGGCGGGTCTGGGAGTGTGGGTCGTGGCCTTCTACTTGCCCTACGCGTGGTTCTCGCTGACCTTCAACTACTCCTACGGACAGGAGCCGGGGTTTGTGGCCGGCATGACTTTCTCCATGGTCGTGGTGGCGGGCAATGCTTCTTGTCTCACAGCTGCGCACTGTGCTCTCTCATGCAATGCCTTTGGGTTGAGCGACTCAGCGGCATGTCAAGAAAAGTTCCTTGATGTACAGCTGAGGCACTGATGTATTTGGTTTGCAGCGAAGTGGCCGACCGCACCAGGTTCATTTATATCGATGACCGCGAGGTTTGCTACATGCTCCTGTACTGCTTTGCTTGCGTCTTCAACGTGGCCCTTGACTTGATCACCACCTACATGGTGGCGTACCGCATCAACGTGGGGCTCCACATGAAGACCTATGACGGCACCCTGCTGCAAAACTTGCAGTCCTTCTCTGACCGCTTTGAGTCCTACGCGATGCAGCGCACACTTGCCAACAACCTGTACGCGTACGCATTCCCCGCCACCTTCTTGATCCCTTTCTTGATCGAGCCAGTGGCAACCATCTACGCCCCATACAAACTGATGATGATGATCGTCCGCACTCAACCCAACATGAAGGGTTTCATGGCTGAGAACTTGCTAGGCAGTCTTGTGTTCGATCTGTCTCGCTACGCCGACCTCCTGCTTGACGCCATGATTGCGGTCCTGATCTTCTTCTTCCCTGGCGGCTTCAACATTCAAATGTTTTTGGGTATGGCACTGTCCCACGTGTACATCTACTTTTTCGACCACTACCGCGTGCTCCGCTCCATTCAGAGTTGCAGCTACACGGACCGCATGGTTGATTGGTGGTCCCAGTGGCTGATGTGCAGCTTAGCGGCAGGTACGCGGCGTGCTGTGGCCACAAAACTTGGCCTGACGGTGCCCTTTCCCCCTTAGAATCTAAAAAATTCGGGTGGTACCATAGGCGCAGAAGTGCATGTTGCACATGCATGTGGCATGGGCGGTTTGACCCCCCTGTCCCGACTGAATGTTTCCCACCCGCCGACGCATGCTTGGTTGTCCGACTGGGCTCTGACCTAGGCTGGTTTGCCGCAGTTTGCCATTACATTATCTTGCCCTGGACGCTCGCTTTTCCGTCTGCTCGGATTTTCCAAGTCGACGGCAAGGGTAACAAGCGTCGGGAAAGGGGGATACCTATGAAGAGGTTTTGTTTAAGGGTTCAAGGCAGCCCGGTGGAGAAGCAGCGTTCCCCCACGATGCCAGCTGCCCGCCATCCCTCAAGTCTTTGTGTGTGTGTGTGTGCGTGTGTGGCGTGCGTACTGTCAAGCGTGCGCTGGAGGCATCCCCTGCGGCTGCATGATGGCTTGCTTCGTCTTCAAGGCCAACTGCCAGCCAGGCTACTTCTGCTTGGAAGGTGACGAGATGGTCACGGCTTGTGCTGCAGCCTTCTTTGCGCACATCGCGTTGCACACCCTGCTGCTACTAGAATGTAAACCAGAGTCTCAGGGAAGCAACGGGATGACAGGGAGGGGAGGAACCAGCATTTTGATGAGACGCACATATTTGTACCCAATGATTGTGTTGTATGCGATGGTGCCAGAGGCTGTGTATGAGCTTTGGTCACAGTGCACACTTGACCGGCAAGTCAGACACGGCATTGCAGTACAGTAAGAGGACGGTATAATCTAAATCAAAGCGAAGGCCACCCGAGCTCTTTTGAAGCGTATGGTTCAGTGGAAGGCGCAGGCTTCCACTTGCTGGAAGTGGGGCAGTGCCTGCAATGCATGCGCCCTTAGCTTCAAGCAACATGATTATGATACAGAATTGTTGAAGTGTTGTTGGGGAAATTCCTACGCTTTCCCGCAAGAGGTGCACTTTTGGGGTATGAAGGCGCATTACAACTACTGAATGTTCCAACGCCAGCACGGAAGTCTGGCTATTGCCTAGAGATGATTCTAGAAGCGAGCGTGCTTGATGATTTGGCGGCTGCGCCTGACCGGAGTAGTGCACCACCTTGGCAACCTCAGGCTGCGCTATGTCGTGCCCAAGTTCGGCCTTGTCGGAGAGTCCGACGGCGCAGACACCAACACCTACGTTGCCTGCTCCAAGCGCTTGCCGTGCTCGTGGTTCACCTCCAACCCTGTGTTCTGCCTGCGGTCGCAGTATGTCTACAAGCACAGCCCTCCGTGCACCTACTACCTCCCGGGGAAGGAGCACCTCATCGAGCAGAACGAGGAGATCGGCCTCTACTTCAAGGACTGCCCTGCCAAGGAGGAGGACTATGACGCCCCGCATGTAGACACAGAAGCGTTGAAGGCTCAGATGAAAGAGATGCACGGCAAGGTTTCCGGGCACATGGAGGAGTTCAAGGGCAAGATGACCAGCCAAATGGAGGAGATGAAGGGCAAGGTCTCCGGCAACTTGGAGCAGCTCAAGGGCAAAGTCTCCGGGCACTTCGACAAACTCTTGAAGAAGGACGGCCCAGACGGCCCGGATGGCGATGCACAGGGCTCCGGGGGTTCCGCCAGCCAGAGCTGAGCCTAGCTGCTTCCAGTAGATCCCTAGCTAGCTTCTCTAGCTAAGTGGCAGCACAACATGAGAGGCTTGAGGAAATGATAGCGCTGAATGTGGGGCGAGTTGTGGGTGACTGGGTGCATGTTGGGGGGGGGTCATTGGGACGGCCCTTGGCTGCAAACGCTTCACACAATCCTGGCTTCACGTTTGCGTCACAATCAAGACATGTTGCGTGCGACCCGCAGCGTCTAGCGCCATCTTGTTTTCCGCAGATTGGCTCAGGGCCGTCAACAAATTCTGTCACAATGCAGATTCTCTTGGTCTCATTCTTCGCCCTCGCCGCCGCGCGAGTGGCACCAGTCCAAGAGCGAGTCACTTGGCTGCGGCTACGCGCTGCTGATTAACCCCATGAACTAACCCCATGAAATCATTGAATCTTTGGCGTGGTTTTGCTCTTCTCGCCTAGCTCGATTCTTTCTCCAGACCCCAGAGTTGTCTTGAGCTCGTATTTGTGGGCCTTGGCCTTCTGAGGCGACCTTGGCCACGGAGGCTCTCTCCGGGCGCCAGCCGCAGTTCTGGCTGAAGTCTAAGGCTCCAGCACCCAAATGTAACGACAAGAAGCTCGTGAACTCCGAGTCTGACAAGTTCCTGGCCTGCCCAAAGGACAGCGCACGCGTGGCCGTGGTGCGTGCTCAGAGAAAACAAGTGTGATCCTCATTGATGACTTGTTGGCGTTCATGCGGCTTTGTTTTGCCTAACTACATTGTCACATACTGTCACTGCTGGGGAGGAGTGCCCGGTTTATGCCGATGATCGTGGAGATGGTGTGGACTGCAACTTCGAGTGTGTGGAAGCAACGCCCAAGGCATGCACGGCAGTGAACAAGTTTGAGCCGATTCCTGACAAAGAGATGGGCAGCTCGGCAGGATTGCAAGCAAACAAACTTAAAATGCTGCAAGATGCAAATGATTCTGCATGGGGGCCCTTGTATTCGTCTGCTGAACTTGAGGCATTTGCCGGGCCTGCATCATCTACGGCTGCGCTGAGTGCAACACGGATGGCACCGACACCTGCGCCAGGTGCGACAGTGGCTACTCTGTGAACGCCAAAGGCACCTGTGACAACAACAACCGCTACTACTGGTATGCCCTGTTCGTTGTGCTCGGCGGGGTCACTTTGTTCATCGTTGCTTGGATCGTGGACATTTGCACCCGCCCCATCGTCAACGCAGATGGCCTGAAGGGAGCCTTGGACTACCGCTCCCGATCCAAGGTGCGCATGCCTAAGTCCTCCAATGATGACGAGGGTCGCGAGCTTTACCCCTTGGACACCAACCTGTTGAAGGAGAGCGTTGCTGGTGTCGGCGTGACTCTGCACTTCAACTTCCAGCTCTTCCTGATCGTGTGGTCATTGGGCATTGCCGTGGGCTGGCTGCTGCTGTCCCTTTCAGTGGATGATGCCCTCTTGATCCTGGGGACACGCAGGGCAAAGACTGCACGACAGAATTGCATCCTGGTGGCATGGGGCTTCGAGACGCAGCAGCGGCTCATGTGGACCAAGATCGACTTCGTGGTCGTGGTTTACCTGCTGACGGTTCTGGGCTGCGTGCTCTTCGGCATCCGTCAGCTGCGGCTCTTCCAGAAGGTGGACATGCAGAACTCCACGCACAAGGACTACGCGGCCCGCATCCGCAACCTGCCGCTCCTGGACGGCACGACACCGGTGGAGGATGAGCTGAAAGAGCGAATCCAAGAGGCGACTGGCCAGAAAGTGGTGGGCGTCTCGGTGTGCTGGGACTTCCAGGAACATGAGGAAGAACTTTTGGACCTCCTGCAGAGTCAGTTGGTGGAGAAGGAGTTGGAGCTCCACCCCATGCCCGAGCGAGAGGAGGAACCTGAGGACTGCCTTTGAAACAATTGAGGTGCCAAATTAGGTTTAGTGCAACAAGGCAGACTGACTCACTTGAAAGGGACCAGGACGCTCTAGCTTGCCAAATGCATGCGCGTTCCTGTGTCAACCCCAGAGGATCCCTCGGTATTTCTGGATGGTCTTGCGGTTTGATAGGGTTCCTTGGAGCTTAAGAATCTACTTGCTCCTCGCTTCGCAAAGGAACCAGGCGGATGGTTCTAGTGCGTGTCGCTTTCTGACGCAAGGCCTGCCTTGCGGCAACCCAGAGCCCATGACATTCAGGTATGTTACCGTATGTTTTGAGGTTGGACATTGTTGGAGCCTTGAATTTTGGTAGGACTGGGCATGGTTGGACCCTTGAACATCATTTTGATGGTCGAGTCTATGCAACCGCCAATGATTTTTGGGTGCCCTTAAACCACCAACCTGGCATTATGACCCCCCACGTTCTGGTCAGAATTGCAGTAGCTGTGTGTGTGTGTGTCACAGCTTGTTCGTTGACGTCGTGCTGTTTGCTTTGCCCTCGGCCACCGTGCAGGAGCCGCAAGGCTTTTTTGCCCGGATGGAGCGTGCAGCACTGGCAGCAGACGCGCAGAAAGTGGTGGCCAAAGGCGATTTGGCCCATAGTGAGCCCAGCCCTATGTAAACTATATGCTGGGCTTATGCTTGTCCATGACAACTTGTGGCCTGTGTGTTGTGTTGCTTGCTACTTACAGATGCTACTGTTCGTGGTTGTTTGTGATGCCTGACGTTGACTTGCACACTGCACCAGCAGCTGGACACACAAACCCCTGTCATATTTATGCGATGGAGCATTGTCATAGAAGTTGCATGCAGTGAAACCTACAAATAATAGGTTTAGCGCCAGTTTCACAACAATCAAGCAGAAAGCTCCTGCACGAGCACTGCCATCGGTGCCATGATGCAACTGCAAACTTGCCCTAGGTGAGATGACCGAGGAAGAGAAGCAGAAGGCCGTTGAAGAGGCCGCACAGGCTCAGCCCGGCGAGGAGATCATCGAGGAATGCAAGGAGGTGGATGTCATCGGAATCCTGAAGAGCATCAAGATGCTTGGCTGAGCTGCACGTGTTTGCTCGATTCAGTGATGCAGAGCTCAAATCTGGACCTGTTTTTGCCTAGGACCTGCCCGGATGCCTACGCAATTTTCGAGACGGAGACCGCTCGTGACGCAGCTGTGGAGGCAATGTCGAGTATTGAGAAGGGTGCATGCACAGCATGTCGTAAATTGTTGGCTGGTCACAGGCGGCTGTTTCCAGTGGCGGGGTGGAGTTCCATGGCAACACACTGAAGCTGAACGCCTCGCGCGTGGAGCCGCAGACGGTGAAGTGGCAGAACTGCGCCAACACGGACCTGGTGGTCAAGGCCAAGCGCGTGGCTCTCGGCACTTTGGCTTGCGTTTGGTAGATTGGACGCATGGCAAAGCGAGATGTTTTCTGCCCTCAGTCCCTTGATGACTTGGAGAGGTTCGCCAAAGATGGCCGAAGTCCAGTTTGCTTCAGGTATGTGCATCATGCTGGCGGGTCTGGGAGTGTGGGTCGTGGCCTTCTACTTGCCCTACGCGTGGTTCTCGCTGACCTTCAACTACTCCTACGGACAGGAGCCGGGGTTTGTGGCCGGCATGACTTTCTCCATGGTCGTGGTGGCGGGCAATGCTTCTTGTCTCACAGCTGCGCACTGTGCTCTCTCATGCAATGCCTTTGGGTTGAGCGACTCAGCGGCATGTCAAGAAAAGTTCCTTGATGTACAGCTGAGGCACTGATGTATTTGGTTTGCAGCGAAGTGGCCGACCGCACCAGGTTCATTTATATCGATGACCGCGAGGTTTGCTACATGCTCCTGTACTGCTTTGCTTGCGTCTTCAACGTGGCCCTTGACTTGATCACCACCTACATGGTGGCGTACCGCATCAACGTGGGGCTCCACATGAAGACCTATGACGGCACCCTGCTGCAAAACTTGCAGTCCTTCTCTGACCGCTTTGAGTCCTACGCGATGCAGCGCACACTTGCCAACAACCTGTACGCGTACGCATTCCCCGCCACCTTCTTGATCCCTTTCTTGATCGAGCCAGTGGCAACCATCTACGCCCCATACAAACTGATGATGATGATCGTCCGCACTCAACCCAACATGAAGGGTTTCATGGCTGAGAACTTGCTAGGCAGTCTTGTGTTCGATCTGTCTCGCTACGCCGACCTCCTGCTTGACGCCATGATTGCGGTCCTGATCTTCTTCTTCCCTGGAGGCTTCAACATTCAAATGTTTTTGGGTATGGCGCTGTCCCACGTGTACATCTACTTTTTCGACCACTACCGCGTGCTCCGCTCCATTCAGAGTTGCAGCTACACGGACCGCATGGTTGATTGGTGGTCCCAGTGGCTGATGTGCAGCTTTGCGGCACATACTTGCCGTTGTCCTACTGGACGCGGGGTTGGCCAGCTGCGCGCGTTGCTGGAAACAAGTGGTCCAAAATTCTGCAGGAGTAGCTGTTGTCTTTGTGTGTCAATGTGCAGACTGTCAATTAAAACTGGCACTGGAGGCATCCCCTGCGGCTGCATGATGGCTTGCTTCGTCTTCAAGGCCAACTGCCAGCCAGGCTACTTCTGTTTGGAAGGTGACGAGATGGTCACGGCTTGTGCTGCAGCCTTCTTTGCGCACATCGCCCTGCACACCCTGCTGCTGCTAGACCCGGAATATCCCAGCCCGTCAATTTGATTTGCTAAGGAATGACTGCCCCGATGTTCTTCCCATCAAATCTAAAGCGGGGATGTTGGTATGATTGCTGTGCCTGACCAGAGCAGAGCACCACCTTGGCCACCTCAGGCTGCGCTATGTCGTGCCCAAGTTCGGCCTTGCTGGAGAGTCTGACGGTGCAGACACCAACACCTATGTTGCCTGCTCCAAGCGCTTGCCGTGCTCGTGGTTCACCTCCAACCCTGTGTTCTGCCTCCGCTCGCAGTACATCTACAAGCACAGCCCTGCGTGCACCTACTATCTCCCGGGGAAGGAGCACCTCATCGAGCAGAACGTGGAGATCGGCCTCTACTTCAAGGACTGTCCTGCCAAGGAGGAGGACTATGACGCCCCGCATGTGGACACGGAAGCGTTGAAGGCTCAGATGAAAGAGATGCACGGCAAGGTTTCCGGGCACATGGAGGAGTTCAAGGGCAAGATGACCAGCCAAATGGAGGAGATGAAGGGCAAGGTCTCCGGCAACTTGGAGCAGCTCAAGGGCAAAGTCTCCGGGCACTTCGACAAACTCTTGAAGAAGGACGGCCCAGATGGCCCGGATGGCGATGCACAGGGCTCCGGGGGTTCCGCCAGCCAGAGCTGAGCCTGAATACAAATGGCAGCGAATTTTTTTGAGGGGTCTGTAACAAAGCCGCGGCGGACATTCGTTACAGACCTCGTTACAGACCTCTGTAACAAGACCAGCTGGCTCGTTACACACCCCGCGTTACACACCCCTCGTCACACACCCTCGTTACACACCTCAGATGAACAAACCAGGCCAGTGACGTGACTGCCCTCTTTTTGCCGCAGCTTGGCTTGCGTTGAGTAGCTGCAATCAAGCTGGAGCTGCGGAGGCGCGCTTTGCAAACTGTGCTTTGCTTTGCCTCGTTACAGACCTCGTTACATAGCCGTTACATACCTCGTTACAGAGCCAACCCCAGCCCGGCCAGCGACCGTGCTTTTTGCCGCTTGGCTTGCGTTGAATAGAGCTGCAGAGGCGTGCTTTGCGTGCTGCGCTTTGCTTTGCCTCGTTACAGACCTCGCTACCTAGCCGTTCAATACCTCGTTACAGACCCAACCCCAGCCGGGGCCAGCTTCGCTTTGCCTCGTTACAGCCTCGTTACATAGCAGTTGCATACCTCGTTACAGGCCCAACCCCAGCGCGGGCCAGCGACCCCCCTTTTTGCCGCAGCTTGGCTTGCGTTCTGGTGCTGCAGAGGCGCGCTTTGCGTACTGCGCTTCGCTTTGCCTCATTACAGACCTCGTTACACAGCCGTTACATACCTCGTTCCAGACCCAACCCCAGCCAGGGCCAGCAACCCTGCTTTTCGCCGCAGCTTGGCTTGCGTTGAGTAGCTGCAATCAAGCTGGAGCTGCGGAGGCGTGCCTCGTTACAGACCTCGTTACATAGCCGTTACATACCTCGTTCCAGACCCAACCCCAGCCAGGGCCAGCAACCCTGCTTTTCGCCGCAGCTTGGCTTGCGTTGAGTAGCTGCAATCAAGCTGGAGCTGCGGAGGCGCACTTTGCGTCCTGCGCTTTGCTTTGCCTCGTTACATACAGACCTCGTCACATAGCCATTACGTACCTCGTTGTGCTGCGCTACATTGTGCTACTGATACTTGTCCCGTTACAGACCTGCGTAACAAGGACCTCCGTTACAGACCTCCGTAACAAGATTCGTGGCGCGTCGCGCGTTACAGACCCCTAAAAAAATTCATAGCCAAATGAGAGCGAGCCGACAACCAACAAAAAAGAGGAAAGCCATCACCGCAACTGCCACTTCAGAAGGAAGCAGTGGAGCATGGCGCAGGTAACACGGCTTTTCGGGCACTATTCACCCATAAGTAGATGTCTAAGAACTGATATGGCCAAATAACCCTGATGTCCAGGCAAAGCGTACAGATTCCTATCTCGTGTGATGACTTACGCACTAGCCCGTGAGTGGCTGACTTGAGCTGAAGCTGTGAAAGAGTCTCGTTTGCTTTGCAGTTGGAGATCCGCAGCTTTTGGCGGCTTGGGCGCCATGGCCGAATCAGAGCCCGAGGTGAGCTTTGATGTAAGCACCCTCAGTGGCCTGCCTCAACAGCTGTTGAACACAACGGATAGTCGTTTGAGAACTGCAACCAGCAGTCATGGCACAAACATGGTTCGTGCCGAAGATCATGTGACTGCCAGCGGTTCCGTGCTGTAGGCGGCCGTTCCGCCACACTGCGCTGCGCACCAACTGCTACGCTGGGGTCCCTGGCACCGCTGATCGCCAAGGAGCTGGGCCTTGATGCGGCCTACGGGCTGCGTTGCTTCCGCTGCTGAGCTCGAGCTAGCCTGGGGTGGAGGAAAGCTCTGGAGAGCTTCCTGGGCGGGCGGGAACAAGCCCTTGCAGTTCATCACAAACTCTAAAACCGCTGGAGCTTGCACTCAGGCTCTGCAGGCAGCGACTACCACTTGCCGGACACTCGGCAGCAACGTTTCAGCGAAGTATCTTTCAGCTGTCTGGGTTAGGACAGCGCCCTGGCATCAGAGCTAGCTTCCGGCTCCATTGTAGTGGTTGCCAACTCCGAGCCCCAGTGGTGCTCTGACCAATGCCGCCTGGCATGCGTGTGAGAGGATGTTTTCCAGCTTGCAATGTCGGTAGTTGACAGCTTTGACGAGCGCTGAGAGTGCCATTAAGGCAGCCGTTCCAGCTTACTGAGGTTTCACAATGCTTGCCGGCGCTAGCCGGGGTGGAGAAGATGAAAGCTGCGAAACACGCCTGGAGATCCATGCAGGATGCCATTTCGAGGGAAGCCACCACATCGCTTTCAAAAGGGTGTCCCCAGCAGTTCAAATCAACCAGTGGCTACGGGGCGGCATGCAAGATGGAGATGCATTTGGCCACTTGCGGCGCTAACGAGCACGTTGCTGGGCCCGACCCTTTCGCGAAAGCAGCTTTGCACAAAATGACTGACGAGCGCGTGGCTCCCACATAGACCAAGCGCTCCAGGCGGCAGATTCGTGTACAATCAGATCTTCACCGTGGGTGGTGAGGACTAGCAAGCTGAGCATGTGAAGCACAAACTAGCAAAAGGGCCCCTGTCACCAAGGTTCAAGGGCTTGGTCTGGGTCGTGCAGGAAACTGAATGACCAGCTCTTCATGTCGCTTCACCATGAACACAAGGCGCTAGACCCAAGGCATAGTCAGAGCCCAGCGCCGCAAAGAGGATGATGACGACGAAGACGACTTCGAGGAGGATATCACGGATGCCGACGGACCTTTGGCACTGAATAGATCATTTGTTTGCTGCTAGGCTGGCAAGGGAGAGCGTGCAGCCGCATTTGCTGCGATTGGTGCGCATTGCAAGTCGACCTTAGTAGTGATGTGTCCTGGACACTCTCTCAAGCATGCCTCCCACACCCTCTTCGAAGGCAGTTGCCAACCCTTTGGTTTGCCCGCCTATTTACCTGCTTGCCGGCCGGTCTGCCAGCCAACCAACCAGCCTCCCAGTGTGCTAGGCCAAGAGTCGGTCAACTCGAAGCTTTAGGAATGCATTCCCTGCTGCTGAAAGGTACCTGGAAGGTGGAGAAAACGGATGACGACGAGCTTTTGGTGCTGGAGGGTGTTTCCAAGAAGCGCTCGTGCAGGATGGGGCATGCTGCACTGCAGCAGAAGGTAGTGGTAGAGAGGCTCGCAACGGAGGCTTGCGCGAGGGACCGGTGCAGACAAAATTAGAGTGGCCCACAGATCAATGCAGGAGACTCGGGGGCCCCGCGCTTGTGTGCAGCACGGAGTCACTGTCGCCAGAGCTGGAAGAATCGAGCAATGCTTTCCACATGACTCTTTGGAAGTCCAACCTCCTGGAATCCCAAGAGCCGGTGGGCAAGCGACCTTCTCCCCCACGATGTTTCGGTAGAGCAGGCAGGTGTTTTGTGCGCATTTGTTTGGCACTTTTGCAGCAGACGTGATCACACTGGTGCCTTGAATTCACTTGGCTTTCCTTGTTGACCCTTTCGCAGGTCCAAGCTGGAGGGTCTCCCCTTTGAAGTGAGGCATGGCGCATTGCCCAAAGGGCACTCAGCGAACAATCGCTCAACTTACTGTGCCAGATGCATCCGAAGGCCGCAACCGCGCGATTGCAAGCGCTTCAGGTGCTGCTTTGCCTTGGACGCGAAATCATTGTGTGTGCGAATATGGCATGGAATGGTTTTCTGAGCTCACCTAAAGTGCCAGAATCCTATGTTTGCCGCCTGCTTTGCCACTTTGCTCAGCCCAAGGGGGCACGGATCTGATCACAGGGCTACTCGACGTGCACTAGTCCTGCTGGAAGGGCTGGAGAATGCACTGCTCAAGCTGGGTTTCACTGGCATTGTTCCAAATGCTGCTTGAACAACTGCGAGTCTGAAGGCCTAGTCATTAGTCCTCTGCGCTTTCCGCCCCAAGGCCCGATGACGGACCCTGCATCAGATGGCTGGCCGGCGGGGAAGGTCGGGCAGTATATTCGAGGCAAAGAGTTGTTGACATCCTCGTGAGGTCTTTGAAGCGGCCACGCAAGGCCCGAAAGAAAGTCCTTTGGAAGGTGTTTGGCTTTCCAATTCCTCAGGCTTCACCTATGACGACTTGGTCCTGATGCCTGGGCATGCCAACTTCGAGGCCTCGGAAGTGGAGCTCACGAGCTATGTGACCAAGAACATCAGGCGATCTGAGTGCGCTCTGAGTGCCCCAGAATGGTTCTGACTCGTTTCTGCACCTGCCCGGCCTTGTAGGTTGACGATGTCCGGCCCCCAGATTCCAGCTTCAGGGTGTCGCAGTGCTCGCAGCTGATAGATGGATTATTGGCTCGGTTGGGGCAACTGGTGCAGCCCAGGCCAGTTGTCAGCGGCCCATCTGACACCGTCACGGAGGCCAAGATGGCCACAGAGTTGGCGCTGGCGGGCGGGCTTGGCATCATCCACGGCAATCAGAGTATCCAGAACCAGGCTGGGCATGCAAAAAGGCATCGAAGGCATTTGGTTCTGTCGCTGTCAGGCCCGTTAGTAATTGCACTTGCATCTTGTTCATTGGGTTCAGGTGGAGATGGTTCAGGCTGTGAAGCGGTTTGTCAGCGGCTTCATTCTGGAGCCCAAAGTCTTGAGCCCTACTCATAAGCTGGCAGACCTGGACAAACTGAAAGCTGCAACTGGCATAGCTTCAGAGCCTTGGCTTCATCTCGCTGCGGCAAAACGCTGCGGCGTGCAACAGCTTGTGATTAATCACAGCTACTCGCAAGCATTTATGTTAAGATCAATGCTTCCCCATATCCATAGCAAGGTGCCTGTCACAGAAAATGGACAGCTGGGAAGCAAAGTGGTTGGCATCGTCACCTCTCGCGACTCTGACCTTTGCGAAGATCGGGGGGAATACCTCTCCCGTGATTCGGCTGAAGGGACTGGGGCAACTAATTCTGCTGAACACGAAGGCTTTGTGCGTATGGCCACCTTTGCATGCGCAATGCCACTAGCACGGGCAATGGTGGTCATTCGTGTGATTCCAAGGCGTGATGACCGAAAAGCTCGTCACCGCCAAAGAGCCGCTCGCTTTTGAGGAAGCGCTGAAGGTCTTGAAGCGCAAGAAGGCGTCTGTTGCAACCTCGCTGGGGCTGTATGTTGCCGAAGGCATGTGCCACATTCTCCGCGTTCTTGCGTTGCATGGCTTTGCGGCATTGGTTGCGCGAGGTGGGTAAACTCTTGATCCTGGACGAAGAGGATCGATTGGTGTCCA